CTGCTCTCTGCATTCCAAGCCATTCAACTGCTCTGAAGATGGAGGCGATACGTTCCTCCGAAACGTCAGCCAAAACGAAGAATACACGGCGCCTAAACCCAGAAGACGACTTTCTTCATAGTCATCGCCTTGAAAACCTCAAAACTTACAACTTTTTCCTATCTTTATATCATGATTTTGCCCTGCATTTTGGTGACAAGACAGCAACATATACTTAGTTTTCTTTGTGTTTACTTCTACACCAACGTCTTTACTTGATTCAATTAAAGTTTATGTCTTTTCCTTTATGGTATCTACATTATCACCCAGTAGATTCACATCATTGGCATAGGACAACAGCTGATGTGTCCCGTTTAATTTCAGTCCAATCTGTTTTCCCTGGACCTTCCTAATGGCATATTTTAAAGTAAAGTTGAAAAGGAGTGCCGACAAAGCATCTCTTTGTTTTAGACCATTCTGGATAGGAAATTTTTCAGACAAAAGTTTACCTGCATGGACTTTACTATACATTTCGTTTAGACACATTTTAATCAACCTAACTAGTTTCATGGATATCCCAAACTCTATCAGAATATTGTACAATAGTTCCTTCCTAACCGAATCATAGGCTTTCTTGAAGTCTATGAATAGCTGCCGTACTGTCTCATCGTACTCCATTTTTTCTCCAATAGCTGATGAAGGCAAAAGATCTGATCTATAGTTGATCTGTTATGTCGAAACCCACACTGATGATCGCCAATAATTTCATCCATATGTGGACTTATACCGTGTGCCGTCTCAGCACACGGTATATTAGGCCCCTATTTCATTAAGGATGAGGAAGGCAATGCTCTTACCGTCACCCAAGAACGCTACATGGACATGGTGAGCGGGCCATTTCTTCAGGATTTGAGAAGGTTCTGTCGTGCAAGGGACCTTCACATGAATAGACAGTGGTATCAACAGGACGTCTTTTCATTTCAGTACTGTAACTTTTGGCGTAAACTGTATATATATATATATACCCATTATTACTCTGGTCTGAGCCTGTTTAATCCATTCAATATCCCGTTAAGTTCTGCTGAATATTGATATCATATTACTACACATGGGAATTCGATTGGTAATTGGATTTATTGGAATCTTCAAAGTCGTAATTACAATTAATTATTAGGCTATGGCGAATTCATGCACCCTAAAATTCACTACAGCACGCACGAATATTTCTCAGCCTGCTGTATCTTCATCGGTTGTCGCTTAGTAACAGCTCTCAAAGCTGAAAATGCCTGTTTCCGTCTTCAATTTCTTACCGATTAGCGACTGTTTCATGGCTCTTCATGGCCGTAACTACTGGCCATTGGATCCTAGCCGCGTTTGACCACCACTGGCTACCACTCGCTTCCGACTCGGAACCCGTCTACCTCAGAACTAAAAGCCCCAATTGGCTCTCCTTATACAATCTCGGCACGAACCACATATAAAACACCGCTTCCAACAGTTCCTATATTGTGGTGTTCGTGTTTGTTATCGCGGACACGTGATTAGGTTGTCGTGGAAACGTCTTTACATATCTTCTGGTTTTGCTAACCCGGCATTCAGCTGACAAGTCATATTATTTTCTTCTATTTTAAATTTTGGTCTCGAAAATTGTCTTCATTTTGCGCTTTTAAAAACAACACATCTTATTCAGTTTCGAATAATCAAAAATTCCAAGTCAAGGAGGATGAGATTGGCAGGGAATGTAGCATGGATGTGGGAGAAGAGGAATGCATATATTATATTGGTGGGAAAGCCAGAAGGAAAGAGACCACTGGTAATACCAAGAAGTAGATGGGTGGACAATATTAAAATGGATCTTAGAGAGATAGGATGGGATTGGATTGATGTGGCTCAGGATAGGGACCAGTTGAGGGCTCTTGTGAATGCGATAACAACCCTCAGGGTTCCATAAAATGCTGGGAAGTTCTTGAGTAGCTGCAGAATTGGCGGCTTCCCAAGAAGAACTCATCTCCATGAGCGAGTGAGTATTCAGTTTCTATGTGTGCTACATAACCTAACCATATCAAAATCCTCAATTTAATTATGCAACAGATTCTAATACAAGTGTACATAAATCACGATCGCAAATTACGTCGAACTATAAAATTCCCAGTTCGTCAAATAACTACGTCGTGTAGGCGTAGGGGAAACAGGTATGAAGCTCCCTGCATTCTAAACTGCGGCTCTATATTGGTGTGAAAAGTTAACTTCAATCTCTGGCTACCGTATCCACGGGAAAACATTCCCCCCGGTATCTGTTCAGTACGGACTGGACGAGGTCCAGGGCCGGAATGATATCGACGGGTGAACTTTTGTCTCTCTCAGAAATCGAAAATCTACTGTCCATTACATCCCGTGGCCTCTTACTTTACTGGGGGACCTGTGCCAGCTAGTACATCAACTGCACTAGAAGTTATTTTTGCATTTGTCGTCGAACGTAGGTCTATATCCGCGAGTTCAAGTACCAATATTATGTGCATACAAACATGCACACATACATGCACACAAACGAGTACATATCTCTATACATAGAACTTGTTAAACAACTTCGTCAAGGAAAACTGGTACAGATCCAAAAACCTGGTATAAAAAGTGTCTGGAACTATAGGTAATAACATAGGCCTTTAAACAAATATAATATATTATAATAGTGTGACATGTTGACCCCTACCTCCCCAGCGGTAACGTAACGCTCGCGTAAT